TTTCATAGTTTTTGAATGAAAAAAGGTACCAATGTTGAATGTATGAAAAATTAAGAGAGAATCATTTCCCGCCAAATTTTCAGGGGCTTATATCTCGAAAACAAGCCCGCGGACCCTTCATTTTTTCTGCTTGTTTAGTTCCTTTATTTATATACTATCATTATCTATAACAGTCTTTTAAAAAACTTGTTATTTTGAAACAGAGTAGCGAACATCCTTAAGAAAAATAACAGAAGGGAATGAAAAATCGTCCCTTTTGTTGTAATTTTTGTCTCGCCTTGACGGAGTCAAAAAGCGAGACATAGGTATGCTGTTTCCGGCGTCGGCGGCGGCGGTGTCAACAGGTCCAGTTCATGGTGAACCACTTGTGGTAGGTCAATGATATTTGGTATGCAGTTGTATTAGCATTGGCACATCTCATTACCATGGAGATTATTTAGCCCCGCCCCCTCAGTCAAGGTCTATTGACTTTGAAACTTTTCATAGTTTACATGTATTAGTTTGTGATAAGGTCAATTTATGGGGAACCACTTGTGGTAGGTCAATGATATATGGTATGCAGTTGTATAAGCATTGGCATATCTCATCTCAATGGAGAATATTTGGCTCCGCCCCCTTAGTCATGGTCTATAGACTTTGAAAATTTTGCTAACTTTATATGTATTAGTTTGTGATTAAGTCAGTTCAAGGGGAAACATTAGTGGTAGGCCAATGTTAATTGGTGTTCAGTTGTATAAGCATTAGCACATCTCCTTTCCATGGAGAATAGTTGGCCCCGCCTCCTCAGTCATGATTTATTTTGAAACTTTTGCTTAGTTTACATGTATTAGTTTGTGATTAGATCAGTTTAAGATGAACTGCTAATGTTAAGTCAATGATTTTTGGTATGCAAATGTATTGGCATTTGCAAGTATCGTTTCCATGGAGATTATATAGCCCCACCCCTGATCATGGTTCATTGACTTTGAAACTTTTTCATAGTTTACAAGTTAATGTTTGTGTTTAGGTTTTTTTTTAAAGGGAACGACTTATCATAAGTCAATGGTATTTGGTACGCAGTTATATTAGCATTGGCACATTTCATTCCATGGAGATTGTTTAGCCATGTACCTTCAGTCATGGTTCATCGACTTTGAATATTTGCATAACTTACATGTTAAAGTATTGCTATTTTAATTTCAACATTTGCATTATCAAAATTACAAAAAGGCGAGACATATCTTTGTGATAACAGTTTATTGTGTAGAATTTCCTGTGTAAAACTGAAATATCCAAATAGGAAAGGACAGTTATTGTTGTTTATATTTGATTTATTTAATGTAAATTCCTTTTGGTAAATTTCGGTACTTCGTTAACAATAAAAGAAGACACGACCTTTCTCAGAATAACTTTAATGTACAGATTCCAATGAAATGATAAATAAAACAAAATACTTTAGTCTTCAATCTGTAAGTTAACGAATTAATGTTCACCCAAAGATATACCGGACACAATAATTGAACGACGACAACAATTTTAATCTTATGAAAAAGTCTATTAAGCCAAAACGAAGGATTAATGGACAATTCCCAAATGTTTTAGTTTTATAGATAATTGAACCGTAATTAACCTAGAAATATTTTTATTTTATAAATTTCTTCAGCTTAAAATATTCTTCCGTATATTATCTCTATATTTGTATTAAAAATCTCCTAAAAGTATTGACTAGATTGTATTATGGCACATCTGAAAGTACAGATATGCTCTTTTTAAGATAAATTTTACCACAAATCTATATACTGTTAGATTCTTATTTTAGATCTGAAGGAAAAAAATCTGCTAGGATGACAATACATGTTAATTTTATTGTTTACTGTCCTTAGCGACCAAATATAAACATCTTGACACTAAGATATGATTCAGCCTTAAATTTTTACTCCATTAGCTTCACCCCGTTGTAACCAAAGATTGCGCTTTATATAATAGCCTCAGAATATATCGCTTTATATAATAAGTTAAATAAACATTTTTAGTAGAATTTGATGTTATAATTTGGCATGAATTAAATCTAAAGTTGCCACTTCTGTTAGAAATTTATACCCTATTTGAGAATTTAAAAACTAAGGCTTGGTATGCTATTTACATCAAAATTGACCTATAAGTTCTTTCAAATACCTAAATATTGTACAATATTTCCCCTTTAGAGGTAATTTTACGATTTTAAACAGAAAAAAGGGAAACATTTTAGAAATTTAACCAAAAAATGAGACAGATTTGAGATTTTACAGTTTGATCAAGATTTTTGTTTGAAATCACTTTTTGTAGCGTTCCAATGTCAACTGCTAACCTTCATAAAATCTCTATTACTGAAGCAATTTTAAAAAATAAGGTATCATTTTAATCATTACAACTAGCAGAACCCAGAAAAGGGTATTAAAAGTTGAAACGGGGAAAAAATTTCATATTAAGGTAGCACTCCACAGTTAGGTGTGTAGTTTCGCATTTTGGCCCCTGTGGATTTTTCAAATATGAGAGCTAGTGTGCAATAAAATTCATTTTCGGATAGCTGAAGATTAATATAGCCTTCATAGTGGGTTTATAGGAACATCTAGGTTGTTTAATGTATGTATTGTAGGCTGTTTTCTGTATGGCAGCCCGTATTTTCATATCCATACCAGACATCGGTCCGGCAATTATTGCATTTTTTTTTTCTAACTTTTTGTCGCACGAACGTTGCCATGTCAACTGCTAACCTTCATAAAATCTCTATTACTGAACCAATTTTAAAAAATAAGGTACCATTTTAATCGTTACAACTAGCAGAACCCAGAAAAGGGTATTAAAAGTTGAAACAAAAGGAAAACATTTCATAATAAGGTAGCACTCCAGAGTTAGAAAATAAAATTAAAATTGAACCATAAAATGTTTAATCATCTTCTATTCCTGGCTTTCTAATACATTAAGCCAACTGTTTGTGTCATACATGTGCATATGTATGTTATCAGTATCTCCCATAGATTTAATTTTCAAAAGTTAAAATAGTGAAAAATAATTCCTTTTTTTGTGTATCCATGGCAACATTCTGCATTTATTTATCATAAAATATTGCAAAAGGGGCATGAAAATGTCACATATTCCCCCAAATTTGGTTTAAACTAGAACTTCAATTCCTATGAGTGATACCTTTTCTGAAACTGTTAACATTAATCTACCAAATGATCAAATAAAAATTTGGTGTCTTTCGCCTCATTTTTTCGTAAGATTTAATCACGAAGTTCGTGCGACAAAAAGTTAGAAAAAAAACAATGCAATAATTGCCGGACCGATGTCTGGTATGGATATGAAAATACGGGCTGCCATACAGAAAACAGCCCATATTACATACATTAAACAATCTAGATGTTCCTATAAACCCACTATGAAGGCTATATTAAACTTCAGCTATTCAAAAATGAATTTTATTGCACACTAGCTCTCGTATTTGAAAAATCCACAGGGGCCAAAATGCGAAACTACACACCTAACTGTGGAGTGCTACCTAATGTTTTTTAAAGTCTTGACAAGATTGTGATAAAATTTAGTAATACATGTAGTATTAATCTCAGTTTGAAGTATCAATATTGTAATTACGTTAAACAACGAAAATACTGTTGACTGCTTTGTATGTGTTATAATCACTCTTTCCTAGACTGCTTTGTATGTGTTACAATCACTCTTTCTTAGGCTGCTTTGTATGTGTTACAATCACTCTTTCCTAGACTACTTAGTATGTGTTACAATCACTCTTTCCTAGACTGCTTTGTATGTGTTACAATCACTCTTTCCTAGACTGTTTTGTATGTGTTACAATCACTCTTTCCTAGACTACTTTGTGTGTGTTACAATCACTCTTTCCTAGACTGCTTTGTATGTGTTACAATCACTCTTTCTTAAACTGCTTTGTATGTGTTACAATCACTCTTTCTTAAACTGCTTTGTATGTGTTACAATCACTCTTTCCTGGACTACTTTGTATGTGTTACAATCACTCTTTCCTAGACTGCTTTGTATGTGTTACAATCACTCTTTCCTAGACTGCTTTGTATGTGTTACAATCACCCTTTCCTAGAGAATTTAATTTGTTTTTCAGTCTTGTTGGCGAGTTAGTAGAATGGTTTTGTATAAAAATACGTTCGAAGTTTTATACGATTATCAAAGATCCATTCATGCATACCTTAAAGAAGGAATCTAATATTTTTTTTACCGGCGACCTTTCTACTGCATTAAAATGTGCATTAAGAAAAAAACGTAAGGATTGTTGACTTTACGACATTCTTTCACGTTCGTATAAGACGGTAGATAAAATCTGTTCCATCTACAAAATTCATGACGTGTCAATCTTGGACAAAGTTAAGGTTTCCCGTAACAACATGGCCACATAAATCATATTATAACCTCGAATTAACTAAAAGTGTTGTTTGGGTACTAGCACAATCAAAAAGTATATTTCTCCACGATATTTATGAGATTTCTTTTTTCCGGGTGTTCTTTTGATGTTGGCTTGTTGGCTTGTTGTCTCATTGACTTATACTTTACGTCTCTAAGTATGCATTGAAACAATTTTCTATTAACATAATGAAGTAGTGTCACAAATTATTTGTGAAGATTGTTAAAAGGTGAAAGACCTACAGACATTTAACAAAACAATATTTGGACACCATTCCCGTGGAAAATTATATAAGAATATACGATAAGGGTACAGTTAGACAAAAACTACGCAGTCTTGCTTGGCTATCTACAATGACGGGACATAATTACCTTGTGTGGACAGAAATCCGTTAATAGTAAAGGAATTCTGGTGTCCGTTAGTAGTAAAGGAATTCTGGTGTAGGTAACTCTTTATGGTGTTATCAACATAAAGTGAAATGCATTCAGAAAAAAGCTGCTGGTAAAAAGCAACTAATATAAATTATTCACAGATAAGAAAATTAAAACTAGATGTTTAGTGATCTAAAAATTAGTCTCAATTAAAGCAAACTTACCCCTTTGACCTGGATAGATGATTGATGTGGTTTTTTGTATTGGCTGAGGTGTATTGGGATTATTTTGTACCATTTAATCAGATATGAAAACATTCCCGGATAGTCGTCTGCATGAGGAGGCGGTATCCAGGATACATTAACAGAACAAGATGATGTATTATCGGAATTCAATATGAGGTCACCTGTCACATTTCTAGGTTCGTCTGGACCTTGAACAAAAAAAAAAGACATGCGCAGAACAATGCTGAAGTGACAAACAAGTCGACAAAGAATAGAGAGAATACTAAGGATTTTACATGAAACTCTCTAAAACAGTTCAGTTCTTTCCTTCTCAAATAATTTTGCTCATGTAGACCAATCAAATATTACTGAATGATTTCGTTCGAAATAGGTGAATATTTGTTCACTTTTAATGTTTGAGAGTCCAGCAGCATATTAGCACTTATTGAGAATAAAAATGGATCGCCTAAAGTAACTATACCGGAGAGTTCAACACCAAACCTTTTTCTACTGCATCACAATGAAAAACGGTAAATGTCCAGAGAATAAAACCAATACCACAAAGGTACAAAATAACTAAAAGGATTTGAGCAACAACAAAAATCAAACTTAAGTCTTTGTTGGCGTATTTTTCAAGCGCTCCGAAAAAATTCTGTGTATCTGGTTCATATGCAAAATTTGCTAATTTTTAGTCAAAACGAATGAGTTAAAATCATCGGTAAATGTTTAGTCAAAACGAATGAGTTAAAATCATCGGTAAATGAACATTTAAAAATCTTTTTAATCTTTTGTATAAGGGTTGACAACTAGCGAAAACAATTTTTATAAAAGTTTCTAGTAGGCTTCATAATGAAATACGTTGAAAACGTGACATGAACAAACATCTCAGAATTAACCCTTAACTGCCGAACGTACTTAAAAGATAACAGATAGCAGTTGCTAAATATATTTTTCTTTCCTTTTTAATAAATACATACCACACAGATGATAGTTATAATTCGTAGCTTGCAGACAATCAGCAGTGATGAACCATGTTACTATCTCCGCACTTCCGGCGGTAAAATCTGAATTGGGATAACTGCTCATATGTAAGGTATAATTACTTCCAAAGTGCAAATTATTAATCCAGTATTTTGAAATTGGAGGTGCCTGAAGTAAAATAAAAACTGTTTTGTATCATCAAAGATGGCATGTTTTCTTTTAAAAAAAACCTACTGAACGTACAAGTGTTTTTCTTTTTTTTTGTTTTCCCTTTAAGTAAAATACCAGTAAAGAATTTGCCTGGAATTACTTGCCTTTTGAAGATGTTTTGTAGGACATAGTACAGCCTTTAACAATAAGCAAAGCCTATACCGTATAATAACCTATAAAAGGCTCCGAAATGACAAAATGTATAACAATTCAAACGAGAAAACTAACGGCCTGAATTATGCTCAAATCTATAAACGTAAACAAATGACAGACAGCTACCGATGACAATCACTGCTTGAATTACAGGCTCTTGGCTTAAGAGAGGCACATAAATATACAATATTAGGTCATGTCAGAAAAATATAAACTTTTTTGTATGAGGCAGAGAAACTGGGGAAGGGAGAGGTTTTACCGAGCCCCTCCCCAGTATTGTGCCGAATACAAAAAAGTTTATATTTTTCTGACATTGACCTAATATTGTTTTAATACTGCAACTTAAATTAATACATTGATAGGTATTTGAATTGTAGAGAAAATTTCAAACTGATTTTCATCCCTAAATGAACCCCTGATAGTGGAAAAAGTGTGGAAACTGACATTGCACAAAACATAGCTTTGTTACTATATTTAGGAAATAAACATAGCTAGTTGCAGTATAAAGAATTTTAATAGAGTCTGTTTTCCTAGTGAATATGTGATGATTATTGATATGTTCCCTTTTTATAATTATTGGCAGAAGATTACTACAAGAAACGATAACGTATATTAGTATCACTAATAAAATCAAAATTAGAGATCGATAGATAAAATACATATATGAGTAAACAATGCAGTTTACCATCAGTTGATATCTTTTGTGTTCAGAGTTCTGTGGATTGTTTGTCATTAAGTGGAGTGTGTAAAAGCACGGAGGATCTGAAATATAAACATGTACCAGATGCATAAATATATGGTTAAATGAATAACATATATAAATATTTAACTTTTTTCAAATCTATGATTATTTTATTATTTTTTTTTTAATTGATAAATTCTTAACAAAAGAATGAATAATGCTATTATTATTCTACTCTTATTGCTATAAATCGTAAGTGTTTCCATGACAGAAATAAACTTAGTCAATTGAACAATGTTCATAATGTTTAAAAATCTATCATCACCCAGAAAAGCGCTTCTCACGCAAGAAATTATTAAACGTGTTGTTTTCAATTTTTTACATCACTGGGTCGATACCTCTGCTGGTGGACTATCAGTCCCCGAGGGTATCATCAGCTCAGTAGTCAGCACTTCGGTACTGACATGATTTAACAAACCTTACTAAAATTGTCCGTTTATAAATTTTAAAATTATTAAGAAACTAAGGTTTCAACTCCCTCAGGCAAAGTTGGCTTTAGATGAATTTGGCTATTTATTTTAGGTATCATCAGCTCAGTAGTCAGTACTTCGGTACTGACATGATTTAACAAACTTTACTAAAATTGTCCGTTTATAAATTTTGAAATTATTAAGAAACTAAGGTTTCAACTCCCTCAGGCAAAGTTGGCTTTAGATGAATTTGGCTATTTATTTTAGGTATTTTTTTACATATAGCTCTTCAACGGTTTCGGTACTTATACATCTTCGGATTTCAAATGTTTGGCTTTGAGCGTTCCTGATTAAGGTAAATCCAGAAAAGCGCTTCGGACGCAAGAAATTATTAAACGTGTTGTTTTCAATTTTTCAACATACTAAACGGCAAGTAATCCTTTACGACCATTTCGGCTATAGCTATTGTTATGTTTACTTTCGTGGCAGAATTGATTTTCTCGGCGAATTTACGAAACTGTGAAGTGAAGATTGTTTCACTGGAGATTCTGCAGGGCATCAGCCGGATGTTTAAGCCTAATATGATTAATCATATGTGTTGTACCACTACAACATGTTAACTACGTATCACAAAGAGTGCATTTTACAGTATGATCATTTAAAATAAATCCATACGGCTGATTTCGGTGAGGCATTTGTAACGTACTGAATTTAAATGTAAGACGTGAGAGGTTAACTGTATTTACGTTGTTAATAGATATTTATTAGTATTACGAAAGGGATATTTCAAAGGGTACTAAAGTGAGGGGGAAATGTCTTAAGATTTTTAAAAGGCAAACGAGTATCCGAGTACTTGAGTATTCGTTGGCATCCCTAACACAAATAGTTTAATAAATTACTTAGAATAAGCCTTAGAATGAAAAACTTTATTAATTTGGTTAAATGTTTTTTCTGTGTAGTCTACACACCTGATCCTGCCCAGTTTTGTTTTGTGAGATTAAATTTATTAAACCGCCTTCAAAACTTGGCTTGTGAGTTATATCCATTCCTTCATACCTTGACGTGTGAGTTGTGTCCCCTCATATTTACTTTGACTTGTGAGTTATTTTCCCTCCTTGATACCTTAACTTGTGAGTTATTTTCCCTCCTTAATACCTTGACTTGTGAGTTTTTTCCCCTCCTTAATACTTTGAACTGTGAGTTATTTCCCCCCTATTTTATACATTGGCTTGTGAGTTATAACCCCTCCTTTATATTTTAACTTGTGAGTTATTTCCCCTCCTTTGTACCTTGACCTGTGAGATATTTCCCATCCTTTATATCTTGACTTATGAGTTATGTCCCCTCCTCTATACCTTGAATTGTGAGTTATTTCCCATCTTTTATATCTTGACTTGTGAGTTATTTCCCATTCTTTATACTTTGACTTGTGAGTTACTTCCCATCCTTTTATACTTTTACTTGTGAGTTACTTCCCAACCTTTATACCTTGACTTGTGAGTTAATTCCCAATCTTTATACCCGACTTGTGAATTATTACCCCTCCTTTTATACTTTTACTTGTGAGTTACTTCCCATCCTTTATACATTGGCTTGTGAGTTATTACCCCTCCTTTTATACCATTAATTGTGAGATATTTAGTGAATTTCGGTATATTACCTTTATATTTTTTAGTAATAGTAAACAATTAATATAAGGACATGATTTACCTTTCGTAGAATTCCATTGTAATAAAGCACTTATCATTCCATTGTGGACTCTTTGTTCGCCAATCTGAACTTCCGATGGACTCTTAACAGTGCCAGTTGCTGTTGAAGAAAATGTTGAGACCAATATAACATTTATATAAATAAATATAATAAATACATTAATTTAAAGATCATTTGCTTTTTTATGTTAACGATATTCCTTGAAGTGACGTTCAGTATTTTAAATTGGCAAAGTATGAACAAATGAAACAGAACATACCACATTATATCAATAGTTATTAAAACCTATATAATAAAACTAATGCAAATAAAAGTAAAGGTATTTAAATGTATAGAACAGTTATAGAGTAGGGGGTTTACTTCCTATGTAAAGAGTAACATCATGTGCAGCCCAAAATTTTGTTTTTTTAATTAGCTGAGTTCAACATGTGACTGGTGCTATGAAGTGGATTTTCACCAGGACTTTTGTAAGAAATTCCATCAAATATCATACTTCGTCACAAAACAAGAACCGGCTACGTGTCATGTCCAGTTCGAAGTTTGGAATAAGTCGAGTTATTTTTAAGTTGAATTGAAAAGATATTTTCTATTTAGTAATAATTGCTGTTAGATTTTTACTGTCCGCTTTAAACATTAATTTCTTTTAATATGCTTCCTCTCAAGTATAATATCGATCTGTTTACAAAATATGGCAATTTTTCTGGTACGCCAGATACGTCGCCATTTAATGCTTGCTTGTGACAAACATTGCAGGATGCGAGACATACAGATGGTAATCCGGCGGTGACGACGGCGTCAACTGTTAGAATAAAGCTTTTAACAAAGTTTTTTTATGAAAAAGAATAACAAAAAAATTGTATGAAAAAATCAACAAAATGTTTATAGGAATAAAACAACTAAACTATTTGGATACAAAGTACTAAGAAACGATGCCTAAATTATAATTCAAATTGAACAAAAAACTGCCCCGACACCGAAGGCAAAGTGTTAACCGCGAATTATCATGATAGAGATAAAAGTAATGGTCTTCAAAACAACTCCATGACAGCACCATTACAGTGATAAAAATAATGGTGTACAAAACCAACACTAGCGAACTGAAAGATGGATTATGCGACTGCATTAAAATCGCAAGACAAAAATATCATCTCTATATGGGATGTAATTAATTATAATTAATTACACTTCCGTTCCAATTCCAACTCAAAAGTCAATCTAAGTAAAAATTTACTGGGAAAACAAAAACTATATAACTTATAAAAAAGAAATTAAACCAATAAAATTTAAGCCGACTCTTAGATATAAGAAGCTTTATTTAATTAGTTATAATCTTTGTTCAAATCAAACTTGTACCTAAACTTATAGTTAAACTAATTCAACTTTCACGGTTTCATAGATAGATAGATGTTAGATGGATTAAAATAAAGCAGACAATGTTGATATTGTTACTGGATTCAATACCAGACTATGCAATGAGTTGAATCTGGTTTCGAATACCAAAAATAATAAAAAGAAAATAATAACTCTACACGATAAATCGTGCGCTTTACCCATGAGATACACTTTTAAAGAAATTCATTTTTGATAAGTTATCATTACTCCTGTTTAGTTTGTGTTACACAAGCTTTATTTCTCGTACGTTTTTTGTCTATAATATCGATGAGGTGTTTGTTTGTGCATCTTTTTCTTTGATTTAGATTTCAATCTCTGAGTGACTGTGTGTTTAATCTCTGAGTGATTGTGTTTTATCTCTGAGTGACTGTGTGTTTAATCCCTGAGTGACTGTGTGTTTAATCTCTGAGTGACTGTGTGTTTAATCTCTGAGTGATTGTGTTTTATCTCTGAGTGACTGTGTGTTTAATCCCTGAGTGACTGTGTGTTTAATCTCTGAGTGACTGTGCGTTTAATCTCTGAGTGACTGTGTTTTTAATCTCTGAGTGATTGTGTTTTATCTCTGAGTGACTGTGTGTTTAATCCCTGAGTGACTGTGTGTTTAATCTCTGAGTGACTGTGTGTTTAATCTCTGAGTGACTGTGTGTTTAATCTCGGAGTGACTGTGTGTTTAATCTCTGAGTGACTGTTTGTTTAATCTTTGAGTGACTGTGTGTTTAATCTCTGAGTGACTGTGTTTAATCTCTGAGTGATTGTGTTTTATCTCTGAGTGACTGTGTGTTTAATCCCTGAGTGACTGTGTGTTTAATCTCTGAGTGACTGTATGTTTAATCTCTGAGTGACTGTGTGTTTAATCTCTGGGTGACTGTGTGTTTATTCTCAGAGTGACTGTGTGTTTAATCTCTGAGTGACTGTGTGTTTAATCTCTGATAACTGTGTGTTTATGGGACGGTTAATGATAGTCAACCGATTGTATATATTATATACTGATAACTAGTACTACAGGATTTTAACTAACTTATTAAGCAATTTGGTTAATTTATAAGAATTTTCTCTGAAGGCATTTTGGATTATTTTAGCTGACTTTGTCTATTTAGGTCATACCATCAAACGTTTCATGCTTTGTTACATTCATAGGGTATTTTTTTTATTCTAAATGTTCAGTTAAAATTATAATTAAACTACAGCTTCTAGTATAAGATTAAAAGTAATGGGACTTATTATACCTACATTATAAAACTCTACACCAAATGTTAAATCGTGCACTTTACCCATGAGAAACAAATAAGAAATTCGAGATTCGTAATTCAAGATTCTAAATATAAAATTTTATTTCTAAAGTAGAAAATTAGACGAATGATATTTGTCTTGAGTGCCAACCACCGCCTCTGCAAGATTGTTATTCAAGTGACACGAACATGTTTATTAATGAATCTCTAAATACTTTTGCCAATGAAACAATCAATAGGACAAAAAGTGCAAATGAAAGTAAATATTATTCATCTTCTTTGAATTCAGGAGCCGGTTTCGAAGCTTTCTTAGGACTAGGACATGTCTTACCGTATACGGAAAATAGTAGTCCTGAGTCAGTTTATCATACACAAATTAGACTTAGGTAAGGTCTCAAAATTTGTCCTAATTATAGTAAAAGATGACAGAATGAGTAGAAATTATCAAATATAGAAAAATATGCAATTTCAAGTCATTAATACTTAGTAGACACTATGTGTTGTCGTTATAAATTGACGTTCTTGTTAAGTATAATTTTGAAGAAAGTAAAACACAAATTGATACATTAATGAGTTATGCATTAAGTGCATTCGATTTGATTCTTAGACATAACCACGTGCGGAAAAAGTGTTGTGTAATTGGAAAATGAATTATTATGTTATCCGTTTACTAAATTATAAAGTCAGTGAAATTAGCAGTTTGAATCTAGAAGAGTATAACAATGTTTTGGAGAAACCACAAAAGGTGAGAAAGAACTTGTGTATTTCCTATATTCGACGTTTTTTTTTTTGTTTTTGTTTTTTTTCATTTTACCTCACTGGTACCTTTACAAAGTAACTCGCTATATATTCAGTTCGAATATCTTTTAAAACATGATCACGACAGAAAATATGATAAAACTTATTTCCAACAGATTGTTTACAGACTTTGCATAATCTTTCAACTTTTCGTAAACCACTCCAACATCACATTTCATTGAGAAATTTAGATTATTGGTTCTCAGATAAAGAAAAAATATATAAAGCTTCTACTAAGGAGGTTTATTCGCAAAAAAAAAAACGATTTTCTAATCTAAACTTTATCTTAAATTTTAAATAGTATTTCCCTAATGAAGAATAAGTTACATCTGAAAGCTATTTTTTTTTTGCAATCCCTGTTGTACAACGATTTCAAAACAATCAGGATTTACATATTCTTGATTATACCCTGTCACTAAAACCTGTTTCATCAAATATAGATTAGATATAATCGACCAAGAGAATATCTTAATTACCGTTTCCATACAACTTGAACATTACATATTTACCAGAAAATTTCACTGCTTTTCATATTAGTTTGTTTCATTATTCAGTACGAATAGGTTAACTTCACATCGATAATTTCTGCTAGCTTAAAATAGCAAGGAAATCGGTACCAATATATCTCTTTGTATACAAAATATGACTTTACCACCACCATAAGAGAATATCAACCCATGTCCAACTCAAAACTTGTCAAATTCAACAAAAAGACCGCAAGTCCGCCAACATTAAGTAAAAAACAAACAGCCGCAATACTTTCGGACAGTTATCGTCATTGGCCAAAAAGGAAAGCTACGTCACAAAACCAAATAAAAAAATCATAATGTGGGGGTGTAAAAGCGATGCAAAAAGCAAAAAAAGGGATATCGACGGTCTTACTACATACAACATTATAGATATGTATCACACGAAAATGAGGCTTCTCCAATCATCGTTAAATACTATCGTAAATTCATAAAACAGAAGAAAAAAGTTTGAAGATTGTGGGGTACCCATACTAGAAACCCCCAGAATACTCTCGGTGGAATAAAGACAAACAGCATGAAACATCAGACGACTTCATAACTCAAGTCAAAGAAGTTTTGCAGATCAAGTCATACATCTAAACAACGAAGTGAAAGAAATAAACACAGGAATCAACCGTCATACGCCAAAATAACGAAGGATCAACAAATCCAAATACATAAAAGGATTTCCATTACAATTGGACCATACGATTCCGAGAAATAGTCCGGACAAAAAGTGTGGAATAATAATAATAATAAGAATAATAATAATAATAATAATAATTAAAAACCAATTGTTCAGAGAACAATTGAAGGTCTTTCCACATCAAAGAAGCTAGTTTCCTCAGACTGATGCGATAAATAAATGGTTTTGATCTGCTTTAAAGTGAACTAAAGGAGATAATGTGCTACTTCCGGTTAAGTGGATATTACTTCCAGTCTCATATGATAGCTTCTTTCACACTGATTCCAAAAATATCTAGTTTCTATATACTTTTGCCTGTAAACCCGGATATAATTGACCACTTCCGGTTTACAGAAAGTCACTTCTAGTCTTAAGTGATAAGTAAATGTATCTAAATTACAAAATATATGGATTCGGAGTACTTTTATATAAAAAAAGTGCAAAAATGGCTACTTCCGGTTTTCTCAAGGTCACTTCCGGTTGTCA